CTCCCAGGCTGCGCACCTGGTCCTTCAGGGGCACAGTTATCCCATTCAGGACCAGGGAATCCCCCACACCTGCCCGCCTCCTGTCCCCCAAAAACAGTACTTCTGTCTTGTCAGGATTCAACCTCAATCTGTTAGCCACCATCCAACCTCCAACCATGGGACTACCCAGTTTACTGCCTTTACTTATTTATTTATTTGGGGCAGCGTGTTGCATCACGTGCTCTTTCCCCAGTGAATACCCACCAGTTGGTATTTACTGGGGCCCCAGTTGGGCAGAAGCTTCATACTTCACCCTAAAATCTGCCAGCCCCAACTCTCTGTTGGACTTTGGCTCGCTTGGCTCACCACTCCAACCCTCTCTGCCCCAACTCTTGCCTTCTTCCTCAGTTATCAGGAACTCTGAGGCCTCACTGTCAATAGCCCTGTCTCTCTCCCTCCCCACTTCTCTCTCCAGATGTTCTTTGCCCAGTTTACCCAGCAGCTGCAAGCCCTGATACTGCACCCACGCTGGAGTGAAGCCCAGGGGGCAGCCTCTCAAGTAAGTGCATGCACACATGTGTGTGTGTGTGACAGAGAAAGAGACAGGCAGACCGAAACAGAGACAGAGGACTCAGCTGCAAATGCAACATTTTAAGTACATTTTAATGCATTATTCAAATGTGACACTAGATGGCGATGGTGAGCTTATGGCAAATTCAATATATTTTTCATAACGTTTTTTGAAAAGGCATTTTCACAGCGTTTTTTTATATGTGTCTGGATTCCACCAGAGAGACAAAGTGAGTGAATGGTTGTGTAGATTTGGACGTGTGCCACAGGAAATGCATATCCCAAAGGCAGGAGGGTGTGTGTGTGTGTGTGTGCGTGCATGAGGGCACCTTTTTCCGGGTGGGCCCATTGCCCGAATTAGCATAAGAGCCCCTCTGCTTTAAAAGCAAACCAAACGTTCAGACAAAGATCCAATTCCATTTGTAACAGGAGGCCAAAACATGAGTTAACTGAGAACTTGTTGAGGCACACAAGGCACCTTTTAATATTTACCTTGTTGGTCCAGATCCATCTTATTCAACTTGGAGACAGGAAAACAACGGTGGTGTCCCTGTAGGTAAATGAACTATGATAGAAAGTTGCAGCTTTCAAGCAGCCGCAAGAAAATACACAAGCAGCACAACACAAGCAAGGGCACAGAGTGATCAACCTAGCTGGAACTAGATCATAGAATCATAGAATCATAGAGTTGGAAGAGACCACAAGGGCCATCGAGTCCAACCCCCTGCCAAGCAGGAAACACCATCAGAGCACTCCTGACATATGGTTGTCAAGCCTCTGCTTAAAGACCTCCAAAGAAGGAGACTCCACCACACTCCTTGGCAGCAAATTCCACTGTCGAACAGCTCTTACTGTCAGGAAGTTCTTCCTAATGTTTAGGTGGAATCTTCTTTCTTGTAGTTTGGATCCATTGCTCCGTGTCCGCTTCTCTGGAGCAGCAGAAAACAACCTTTCTCCCTCCTCTATATGACATCCTTTTATATATTTGAACATGGCTAACATATCACCCCTTAACCTCCTCTTCTCCAGGCTAAACATGCCCAGCTCCCTTAGCCATTCCTCATAAGGCATCGTTTCCAGGCCTTTGACCATTTTGGTTGCCCTCCTCTGGACACGTTCCAGTTTGTCAGTGTCCTTCTTGAACTGTGGTGCCCAGAACTGGACACAGTACTCCAGGTGAGGTCTGACCAGAGCAGAATACAGTGGCACTATTACTTCCCTTGATCTAGATGCTATACTCCTATTGATGCAGCCTCAAACTCGTGTCCTGGAAGACCAAACAGCAAAAGCGAGAACCAGCACAGTGTTAAGTAATGATCAGTAATACCTCTTATTTATGATAGGTCCAATAATAATACTAAGATATAATGTCTACACAACAAATTTAATAATTTACTGTATTTTTCGCTCTATAAGACGCACCAGACCACAAGACGCACCTAGTTTTTGGAGGAGGAAAACAAGAAAAAAAATATTCTGAATCTCAGAAGCCAGAACAGCAAGAGGGATCTCTGCGCTGTGAAAGCAGCAATCCCTCTTGCTGTTCTGGCTTCTGGGATAGCTGCGGAGCCTGCATTTGCTCCATAAGAGGCACACACATCCCCCCTTACTTTTTAGGAGGGAAAAAGTGAGTCTTATAGAGCCCAAAATAAGGTAATTTTAAGCACTCCCAGAATTGAAGAAATACGTGGAACTATACAGCCGGTCATACTAGTGAACTGAAACGTGTTCAAAATGTTTGCCGATGGGACCTTTAAAACGTCAACACTGATTAAAGAAAGGCAGTCAAAATAAACTATATGGGCAAAACAATGCCAGCCTTCTCATCCACGGTTCTGAATGACTCACAATGCACTGTGTGATAAGGAAAAATACAGCAGTGGCATTTGTTTGTGTAAAAAGAGCTATAGCTGACGTTTCAGTAAGGTATGGCTTGCAACAACACACAAGGAACTTCAGTTTCAACTGAGGCTCTTTTGTGTTATTTCCTGGGCCTTTTACACACATACAAACCATCCTTTTCCCAGGTTTTTCTTTATCACTACACAGGTTTCAGGACCCTGAGGTGCAAAGGTGAGGGATCAGTGAAGGCGGCAGTTCTGCTGCCGCCTGGAAATACCACATAAAGTACAAAAGGTAAAGTACAGTAATCAAAAATATCACCTCCGTCATCCTTTCTTTCACTCTGCTGCCACCGCATACACGGGTTCTCCTTACCTCTGTGGTCGTCATCTACAAAAGGCCTGCAGGGGGGTTCAAGGAAGACAAAACAGTCTGCCCCCCATTATAAACTGACATCCCAGGGTTGGGGAGAAGTGCAAGCCCTTGAAATAATTGGGAGTTTTCACTACTTTTACAGCGAAAACGCCCAGCTTCCTCGCAACTGTTTTCCGCTCACAGCAACAAAATCCCAAGTGCACTCAATTAATAATAGAGATTCTGAATAATTGAAAACGGGCAGCATCTTTGAACTGTGTCTCCGAAGGCCATTACGCACAGGTCTGCCCTGTCTTTCTGGAAAGTGAGACTTGAGCGTCTCCAGGTAGCTAAGAAACACGATGCTGCTATAGAGACTGAGAAGCAGAGGAGCCATTATCAGTAACACAGGAAGAAAAACATGAAAGGGCAGTGAGCTACCGTCCTTGCGTCAAATTCACAAACTCCCCCTAAAGCAATAAAGAATTTCTTAAAAGCCGGAGAGATTATATTAAGGACATAAAATGTACTTTTGCAACTCTCAAGATGAGTGGCCTCAAAAGTCTCAATGTAATGAATCAAGCTCTGGAACAATTAGGTTTCCTTAGGAAGGAACTTACAAAAATTGGTGCTTTTGGAATCCAATCCACCATAATCAGTTTTAGGCATTTCATCATATTACTTTTTTTGACGAATATTAAATATAGGTACAAGCGTCATAGTCCCACGCTGGCTTTAGCTATTTCTGTGTATGCTTTTGGAAGACCAAGCCAAAAGACCGATACAAAAGATTTCTTTATTACAGTAATTATGTTGCTCTTGTAGAAGCACAAAATCCTGATTGTAGCAGCCCTTGAAGTTAACCATCTCATCTTCTAATTCCCTCTAATGATGAAGTGGTTGACTATTGACAGGGCTGAAGCCAAGACAGGGTTACTGAAAAACATTAGGATGCTTGGAGAAACCTTGAGGTACCGTATTTTTCGCGCCATAAGGTGCACCTGACCATAAGGCGCACCTACTTTTTGGGGGGAGAATTCAAGAAAAAAAATATGCGGCTCTTGGGAGCTTTTGTGGGAGGTGGGGGAAGTGAGAGAGCCTTGCTCTGTCCCTTCCCCCACCTCCCGCAAAAGCCAGGGATAGTCGCGCGAAGCCTCCCATGGCAGCGGGATGAAGGCTCCCCACTGCCCTGCGGAGGCTTCACGGGCTACCCCAGAGCTGCTCGGGAGCTTGTCGGGGGGAAGCCCAGGTTTTCCCCACCCCCAGCCCCCAAAAGCAGGTTGGGGAGCAGCGGAAAGGCTGTGTGCAGCCTTCCCACTGCTCCCTGAGCTTGTGGGGCTGGCGGTGGGGGAAGCGCTTGTTACGATATAGAAGCAATGCGGCCGCGAGCAGCTGCTAGCATGAAAGCAAAACATAATGGGAATGTTGGGACTGTTCCGTGGGAAACAGAGGGACAGTCTATTCACAGTGCTGAGCACCGGATTTAGCTCAGAGTGTAATATGAGCTGTACAGGAAGTACAGGAGGTGGAGTTTGCGTCTCTCTGCTGTTGGAGTTTGAACAGTACAGACGTGTTTCTCTGTAATGCTGCAAAGACAGAAATAAAGGCATGTAAATACATTTCTGTCTATCTCTTTCCCCTGCCTGGGGAGGGCAGGGAAGAGTGGTGTGTTCTTCTCACGCTTGAGGAGGATCGCCGATCGCGACCTAGCCTGTATCCTGCTCGGGAATGCAGACGGGGAGGTCACCAGGAGATCAAGCCGGGTGCCTGGAGAGAGGCCAGTTTCTCCTGATAAAGGCTTGATTTCCTAAAAGCGCTTTCCCCCACCCCCAGCCCCAAAGAGCAGGTCGGGGCTGGCGGGGGTAGCCCAGGTCCCCCCCCCAGCCCCAGGGACCACACATTCCGCTCCATAAGACACACAGACATTTCTTCTTAGATTTTAAGAGGAAAAAAGTGCATCTTATGGAGCGAAAAATACGGTATGCAGAATCCCAAATCATAGTTGTTTTCAATGCTTGCCCGCTGCACTTTTCATTCTCACAAACCCCCTGTGCTTTAGTTTATGTGGAACCTATACAGCCAAGTTCAGTGTTTTTTGCACCTTCTTGGATGCCCACACCCACCCCTCTCAAATGATCCCCCAAGAAAGCGCCATTCCACAAAGACTTACCTGCCGATCTGCACTTTCCTTTTGCTTCTAACCTATCCGAAACACTTCCTTATTTCAAAAACAGCAGCGTACCTGGGTTGTTCCAATGGAAATAAATCTCAAAGCCTTATTAAGATTTCATCTTTATTAGAACGCACTCAAATGTCGCAAAGTGGCAAGCAAGTTTTTTCATTTCTCCAGAGCTACATCTTCTTGAGGCTGGTTGTTGAGAAAAACACAACAAGGGGGTGAGGGAGGAAAGCTGGCTGTGAAGGAAAAGCCCCAGAATCAGCAGTCTTTAAAGCTGGAATGTAGAGGGTGCTAGGAAGCCTTGAGTCGATTAGATGGTTGAGAGTGCAAAACAGATTTCAGGCTGCTTCAAAGGGTTCATCTTGCTCCTCCATCAAGTGTAGTAAGAAGGGAGAAGAGTGTATCCTCCAAATTCTGCTATGGATTTGAACATCATCCTCTACAATTTTGAATGTAAGTGTTTTGAATTCCTAATGCATTTTTTTCAGTCCACAAAATGATCTTCGAGATGATATTGCTGCATTTAAATGGAGCTAAACTGGTTTGATCCAAATACTCCAACAAAAATGTGCCATGCTTGTTTAGTATGCACACGGAAGACAAACACGCTTAAGTTTTTACACAGTTACTTAATTCATTACATTCAGAAAGAAGAATTAACGTTTTCCTGTTGAGCAACAGAAGCTGCTGCATCCAGGGATTTTCTCTGAGGCAGCTGAATTCAGCAGCAGTGAATTCTGAACTTAATTCTCGATTGCTCAAGTTGGCATCTGCTTAAGACAAATCTGGAGCTGCAGAATAAAAATAAACAAGAAGGAAGCATTTTAGTTTCTTTCTGTTTTTGCTTTTCCAAATAGGACAGTCATGGAGACTGCCTAATTAAGTGGTTATCCAATATGTTTACGGTTTTTATATGGATCGCTGTATTTGCTATAGGATGAATTATTATTTTTTTTAAAAAAGACATTTTAGTCACTGCGATAGTTAAGAGAAATGGGAAACCCACAGTCACATTTCTCAAAGACCACCAATGTATCAGTACTCGGGGCACTCATGTAGCCATAGACAAAAGGCTACTTATGTAACAATACGCTGTGATTTCTGTACTGTATGCAGTGAGGGAAGTGTGCAAAGGAGACTTTTATCTCCAAATACAGAGGTGACGTGCGCCTGGGAGCTGCAGCTCATCATAGCTTCCCACCACGAATTCTCAAGTATCTGGAGAGGCAAGTCTTCTTTGCACACTTTGTGTGCTCACCAGACCAGATATTGGTGTGCTTATGGCAAACTTGGTTGTTAGAGAAAGGTGGGAAGGGGCTCAAGAGGGCTCCAAACTCAGAAAAGTCTCTATTGTTAAAAATAAAGGGATTGCTCTGGTATTGAGGGATGAAGGAAGCCGAGGCAGGGACTCAAACTGCGAGAGTTGAAAGAGCTCATTACAGTGGGCCCTCTGGATACGAACTTAATTCGTTCCGGGAGTCCATACGAACCCCGAAAAGTCCACAACATGAGGCGCTGCTTCTGCGCACGTGTAACGCGTTCCGTTACTTCCGGATCGCCGCGGAGCGCAACCCGAAAACACTCAACCTGAGGTATGACTGTACTGTGAAAGCAATTCTGCTGTTGTTAATAGAAGCCAGAAAGTAAAGCAGATTTGAGAAGATGCCATGCATTAACAAATACCACAACAGTTTTAAAAATGAAGCCTACTACCAACAAATAGAATGATTTTTTACATTACTTTTTTTGAGTTAAAGAGTCCCAACTGGAAGAAATACCTGGTTTCACAATTCAAATATAAGGTTTACAAATAGTTGGAGGTTTTATCATCTGAAGGGGTAAATTTTTTATTTATTTTTAAGCAGCTTGGGCCTACCATCTACAGGATCTTCTGCATTTTCACCTGTGGGTTCTTCAATGCTTTCTTCTTCAGGATTCTTTGCCTCACTAGGGGAACCTTCAGCCTCTGATGTAGAAAGAATTGTTAGTTTTACATTTCACACATTTCAAACATTCTCCTTTTTATAATCTGTTAGCATATTCTGACCTTCTTTTCACAAGAAGCTAGGAACACAGAAAGGGGCTTTATACTGAGTCAGACAATTTGTCCAGCTAGTTCAGCATCTTCTGCACTGATGAAGTCTCTCCCAGACCTAACTAAAGATGTGAGGGACTGAACCTGCAGCCTTCTTCATGCAAAAGAGATGTCCCACCAGGGAACTACAGCCCTCAGCCTCCCTTAAGAAAAGCATGGAGGATTGCCATTTGGGCTGTACCATTGATGCTCATCAGAATGCCTTTCCTGGATACGAGAATGGAAGACACTGAATAATACTGACCTGCTAGACCTGGAAGGGTTCGACAATAGATACGGTTGGCATGCTTATCTAGCTTATGAGAAGGCCAAGGTACATAAAGGCTTCCTAAACCACGTAATCAAGAGATCATTACACAAAGTGTGGTCTAAATATGAGACTTTATTAGAACCTAAAACGCCGTGGTGGTTGTCCCTGACAGAAGCATTTTCGGTTAAAAAGAAGAAAGTGAATCGTATCTGCGAAACCTAGAAAGATCTGCTGGAAGAAAAAGACGATAAGTTAAAACCTTAAAAATTTTGGGGGGAAAGGCACCATTTGATAGATTGGATGCAATATTTTCAATTGAACGAGACCTTCCAAAAAGACAAATAAACCGGTTTGTCCACAGAACCTTCAAGACTCAATAAAGATGAGATTCAAAATAAATACCAACCACTCTCTAAAATGTTAAGGTTACTCCTTGACTGGGAGGTCAAGGAGGAAGAAGTCAAATCCGTAATGGTGCAATGGGCCAGGAACCATGGTTACAACATCCACATGGAATGTTGGGAGAGACTCTGGAGGGAAGGCATGCTACGATCTAAAGGAAAACTGTATGAAAATGCCTTACAGGTGGCATTTAACACCTGTTAAATTGGCTAAAATGTTTAGATCTAGGACAAACATTTGCTGGAAATGCAGAGATGCTGAAGGTACATGGATCCACATGTGGTGGAACTGTAAAAAGATCAGACAGTTTTGGGAAATGATTTACAACGAACTTAAGAAAATGTTTAAATGTTCTTTCCCTAAAAATCTGAAGCCTTCCTGCTAGGAATTATGGGTAACAAAATTCCAAAAAAGTTCAGGAGAGTCCTAGAGTTGCTGCCAGAATTTTAATCACAAAAGGTTGGAAGGGAGAGGTGTGATGGGATGATGAGCTGCTTGTGCGTAAAATGCAAGTCCCTCAGAGTTTGATCAGGTTTTCAAACCTCTGCCTGTGACGGAGCCCCTCCGGCATGGCTGCGTCAGTCGCTAGCAGAATCCGAAAGTGGTTGCTTTCGGAATCGTTTCCAACATAAAAGCTCCTTAACGGAAACACGTCTTCTGGACTCTCGGCGTGACAGTTTCCGGCGAGGAGTGGGTGTCCCTATAGGAGGTCCTGAGACCTCCCCACTGTTTTCGCTGGAAGCGTCTCTGAGCCATCCCTCCGACTCACTTTCCCTTGGAGTTCCTCCTCTCCCCCTACTGGTTCCCTCTTCAGCTGCTACGTCTCTCTCAACCTCAGTGAGCCTTTGCACCTCCTGTCCTTCCGATGGCAGTTCCCTGACATCCACCTCCCCTCCAGGGCCCCCTTCACCCCCTCCCGTCTCCTCCCCTATGGGCGGCGAGGAGGTAAAACCCCTGAAAGAACCTCCCTCATCTTCCGAAGTCTCGAACACTTCCCTCCACTTGTTGCTGTCCCTGGTCTCTCGGTACTCCTCGTCATCGGAGTCCATTCCCTCTTCCAACTCCGAATCCGCGAATCCTTCCAGTTCCTCTTCCTCGTCGGTGGTGCCGAAATACTCCCTCCTAAACCTTGCTACAGGCTGAGGTTTCCTCGGGAATCTTTGGTGGAACGTTTCTATTAAAACCTCGTCATTAACCTCCCCTGCAGTCACCCAGGTGTTTTCTGACTCCGGTTCCCCTTCCCACGCCACCAAATACTCCACCTGATTTCCCTTCCACCTGGAATCGAGGATTTCCGCTACATGGTTGCTGCTTTCCCTTTCTTCCAAGGCGGGTTCCCTGGCGTGCTCCCCTTCACGTCCCCCCCTGTACGGTGACAGTAACGACCTGTGGAACACTGGGTGCAATTTCATGTGGTTGGGCAACCGGAGTTTGAAAGCCACTGGGTTGACCTGCCGAATGACCTCAAAGGGTCCCAATCTTTTGGGTCTCAATTTCTTACAACCCCCTTTGAACGGCAACCCTTGGGTTGACAGCCACACCTGATCCCCCACCCTTATGGTTTCACCTTCCCTTCTGTTCTTGTCTGCCTGCTTCTTATATTGTGCCTTGGCCCTTTCTAAGTTGAGCTGGAGCTGATGATGGATCGCTTCCATCTCTTCTACAAAATGTTCGGCCGCTGGGACGCTCCATCTCTCCCCTCCATCCCCTGGAAATGCCCTGGGGTGACACCCGTAATTAGCCAAAAAGGGGCTCATCCCTGTGGACACATTCTCCGCATTATTGTAGGCAAATTCTGCCAGCGCCAACTTTTCGACCCAATCGTTCTCTCTGTCATTGACATAACACCTCAGATATTGTTGGAGGATACCATTTGCTCTTTCCGCCTGCCCGTTGGTTTCAGGGTGCCGGGCAGTCGAAAAATTGACTTCCACGTGCAGCAAGCTCATGAGCTTCCTCCAGAACCTGGAAGTAAATTGTTTGCCCCTGTCTGAGATCACCCTCAAGGGGGCGCCGTGCAACCTAAAGATGTGTTCTACAAACAACTTCGCGGTTTCTTCCGCTGTGACTGCATGTGAGCATGCTACAAAGTGGCACATCTTAGTTAACAGGTCTACTACTACCATGATGGCTGTTTTCCCCTTGGACTTCGGCAGATCCGTCATAAAATCTATCGATACCGCTTCCCAAGGCCGTTCTGGCGTGGGTAATGGTTCTAATAACCCTGCCGGCGCCCTTCTTTCCCCTTTGGCTCGCTGACATTGGTCACACCCTCTTACATACTCCCTTACATCTTCCCTCACCTTGGGCCACCAAAATTCCCTGGTAACCAACCACATGGTCTTGTGTTGCCCAAAATGTCCCGCCGTGGGGCTATCGTGCAACTGCTTGAGTACTCTCCCCCTCAATTCACCTTCGGGTATATACAGTGCCCCTTTGTAATACAATGCCCCATTTCTTTCCTCAAAACCTCCGGGGCTCTCGCCCTCCCCCCTGAGACCTCTGAGCTTATCCTGGGCATATTCATCATTTTCCGTTTCCTCTACCAGTTCTCGTTGCCCCACCAGCGCCGCCCCACACACCCAGCGGTCCTCAGGGATGACATGTCTCTCTTCGATTGCCCCCTCCCCCTCCAAATACTCTGGTTTGCGTGAGAGAGCGTCCGCCCTGACGTTTTCTGGGCCTGGCACATAACAAATTTCAAAGTGGAATTTGGAGAATTCCTGTGCCCATCTCACTTGTCGTTGGTTGAGCACTCGAGCCGTTCTCCAATACTCTAAATTCTTGTGGTCGGTGCACACTTGCACCTTGTGTTGTGCCCCAATTAATAAATGTCTCCACCTCCGGAACGCTTCGTGAATGGCGAGTAGTTCCCTGTCATACACCGTGTAGTTCCTCTCGGATTTATTCAGCTTCCGCGAGAAAGGCACACGGTCTCCACTCCGACGTACTCCTCCCCGGTTGAAGAAGCACCGCCCCTACCGCCCGGTCAGACGCATCGGTTTCCACTCTCATGGGTTTTCGTAAATCCACATGCAGAAGTTGTTCTTCCGAGGCGAAAGCCCTTTTCAGTTCTTCAAAGGCTCGCTCCGCCTCCGCCGTCCAAACAAATTTCTTCTTGCTGCTGAGGCAGTCGGTGATGGGCGCCGTCAAGTGGGCAAAGTTCTTGATGAACTTCCGATAGAAGTTCCCAAACCCCAGAAATCTTTGCACATCCTTCTTGGTCTTTGGTGTCTTCCATTCCAGTACCGCTTGGACCTTGCCTGGATCCATTGCCAATCCCTTGTCTGACAAGCGGTACCCCAGGAATTCCACCTCCTTGGTATGAAACTGACACTTCTCCAGTTTCACCCACAGCTGGTTGGCTTGCAGCCTGCCCAACACTTCTCGAACGTCCCTCACATGCTGCTCCTCATCCTCCGAATATACCAACACGTCGTCTAAAAAGGCCACACAATTCTTGTAGAGCAAAGGTCCCAGGACGTGGTTCATAAAGGCTTGAAAGCACGCCGAGCCTGCTTGTAGACCGAAGGGCATCACGAGGTATTCAAAGGCTCCCAAAGGGGTGAACATGGTGGTCTTCCATTCATCCCCCTTCCTTATGCGTATCAGGTTGTACGCCCCCCGCAGGTCCAGTTTTGTAAAAATCTTTCCCTTCCTCACCCTGGTCAAAATGTCATCAATTCGGGGCATAGGGAAAGCCAGGGGTTCCGACACTGCATTCAGGGCCCTAAAGTCCACTACAAGCCTCGGCTTATCTGTGTTTTTTTTGTCCACAAAAAACACTGGGCTGCCCCCCACCGCTCGGGACTCTCTGATGAAACCTCGTTTCAGGTTTTTGTCAATGAACTCCCTCAACTCCTGCATCTCCCTGTCTGACATGGCGTACAGCTTGCCCACTGGGAGTTGGGCCCCAGGGAGTAGATTGATTTGACAGTCAAAGGGTCTATGCGGCGGCAGTTTGTCTGCTTCCCTTTCGCTGAATACGTTGCTCAGATCTGCGTATTGCGGGGGCACCTTCCCTTTATCCGTTACTTCCATCCCGGCTAGGGTGACTCTGGCTCCTCCCGGAACCATCCCCTCTTTGCAGTGTTCTAGGCAATGCGCTGACCCAAAGGAGACCACCCTCTGATGCCAGCCCACTAGCGGATCGTGTAGCGCCAGCCAGCTCATCCCCAAAATGATGGGAGCTCCTCCCAAGGTGGCCACGTTAAACGCTATCCATTCGGTGTGCCTTGCCACCCTCATTATCATCGGGACAGTCTGTTGGCTAACTTCTCCTCCCAACAGCTCTCTGCCGTCAATCGTGGTCACCTGCAAGGGGTTACTTAAAGGGATGGTCTGTATCTGGTGCTCAGCTGCAAACTCCTTACTCATGAAATTACAGGAGCTGCCTGAATCCAAAAGCGCCTTGATCTTTAGTGGGTGTCCGTTTGGCAGCTCTAGTAACACCTCTATCACTAAAGCAGGTCTTGGAGGTTCCGGCATGGGCACTTTCACTGCTCTTTGGCCTGGCTGCTGTGCCCCGACGATGGCAGCCAGGCGTTGGCTTTTACTTGCTCCTTGCCTTCCTCCTCTTTTTCCCCAACAGCTCCTGCCATCCCTTGCCATTCCTTTCTTTGTGGGCAGACTCTGGCAAAGTGACCTGGCTGTTGGCAGAGATAACATTTCTTGGTGCTCTTCCCCTCCTTCTTCTGCCCTTCACTGGGATTTGAAACTGCGCGCTGCCATCAGGGGTCTAACCCAGTCCTTCGCTCCCGATTCGAGATGGCCAATCACAAAAGCCACTCGCGATTCCTCGTCGGGGAAGTCATCAAACTGCAGGTTGAGAGCATATTGCATCTCTGTTCTAAAGGCATGATAGTTCCTGGGATCCCCCCCAAACTTCTGCACCAATCCTGGCACCTTTCTGGCGAGCGGGGTGGTTTTCTCCTTTCCCTTTTCTGCATCCTGAGCCCTCCTCTCCTCGAGCCTCGCCGTTTGCAGCGCAAGCTGGATCTCCAACGCCCTGTACCTTTCTTCCAGGCTTGGACCCCCTCCAGCTGCTCCTGCTCCTCCGGTTCCGGCTGGGTCGCTCATGATGCCTCTCCCTGCAACTGGCTTTCGATGACTTTCGGATTGCTGTGATGGGATGATGAGCTGCTTGTGCGTAAAATGCAAGTCCCTCAGAGTTTGGTCAAGTTCTCAAACCTCTGCCTGCGACGGAGCCCCTCCGGCATGGCTGCGTCAGTCGCTAGCAGAATCCGAAAGTGGTTGCTTTCGGAATCGTTTCCAACATAAAAGCTCCTTAACGGAAACACGTCTTCTGGACTCTCGGCGTGACAGTTTCCGGCGAGGAGTGGGTGTCCCTATAGGAGTCCTGAGACCTCCCCACTGTTTTCGCTGGAAGCGTCTCTGAGCCATCCCTCCGACTCACTTTCCCTTGGAGTTCCTCCTCTCCCCCTACTGGTTCCCTCTTCAGCTGCTACGTCTCTCTCAACCTCAGTGAGCCTTTGCACCTCCTGTCCTTCCGATGGCAGTTCCCTGACAAGAGGCTATCCCATTCCAACCAGACTGACAAAATAAATTAAAGAGAATACGCTGAACTAGCAAGGTTATCAGCGAGGTAACGAGACATTATAGATGAAAAATTTACCAGAGAGTGGGACATATACATAGTTTATGTAAAAGAACATTGTCAAAATATTAATCCGTTGGCAGGTTTCAATTGAGTTTCTGTGGTAAATAGGATAACTTTATAAAATGTAAAGTAAGTTAAACAACATGGAGAAAATAAAGTTAAGTGCGTATTCAAGGAATCCAATTGAGGAACATAATGGGAAGATCAGAGGTCATGTTAAATGTAATTACAAATTGATGTACAAATCAAGTATCAATTAAGGAATGAATGATTATTTTTAATTTGTCTTTAACCTTTATTGATCATTTCTGTTCTACAGTTTTAAAACCAATAAAGCATTTTTTTTAAAAAAAGGAAAGCTGTTTGTACCTGCTCTTAAAAAAAAAGAGAGGCTAATCAGTGCTTCAGAATGAAAAGGGAGGAAATGTCAGTCTGCTTTGATGGAGAGGGTGTTGTGTTTGGGATGCAGGAAACATGAATACAAATCCCAGATTGATTACACTATAATCGAAAGGCTTTAAGCCATCATCTGCTCTCTCTGCCCCAACTCCACGCTTACATGCAACCGCGGCCAATGGGCAGGATCCAGAAACTCTTTTGGGAAGAGGAAGTGCACACGCAAAGGCTTGTGTGCACATACTAGTGCTTCAGTTTTGACTTTTAAAAGTTGCCCTGATGCTGTCTTGCAAAACAGTCCAACCTGAATTCCAAAACTGGTGCTGTTAGGAAAAGATAGCAGCCAATGGCATAAAACAAACTTGCAGCCAACAATCTTTAATGGTGTATCTTAATTGTGGATGCTTATATTCTAATGTTTGTGTAACTGGTTTTTATCTTTGTAACTGAAAGCCTATTTTTACATTCAGTGAAAAATAAAATAAAATAAAATATATATATATTTTTAAAAAGCATTTGGGAATAGCATTGCTGGTAATTAAGCAAGGACACGCAAGAGACTAAGGTTGCCAGCTTTTCAGCTTCAAATTCCCTGAGTAAAATTCTCTCTCTTCTCTAGTTTACACACACGATTGTCATTTGATCACTGCAAATCAAATAGTGACTTGAATGTGTGAATGAGGTATGAGGTAGAAGCACCTTGAGGGGAGTGATTTTCAGACAAAAAACAATTCGTGGTAAAGGGAAAGTTGCTTCTTTTCATCTGTCCATTTTCTGCCCTGGCTTGAAGTATGCCTGGACAGATTTGGGTTATTGTTGTTGTGAGTTTTTAAAAAACTTCGGAGGAGAATAAATTAGGGCTGAGTTAGAAGTATCCAGAAAATAGCTTTTCTTAGCCAGTTTTGGAAAACTTCCCTTACCCAATCTCTTCCCAAAGTATTGGAGAATTGCAGTCATCCCATGGGATGAATATGGTAAAATGGTCTCTACAATTTTGCCACTTGTTAATTCTGGACGAAACTATGGATCCAGTTTTGATCTTGTCGAATATTATTACAGTGTCATTGAAGGTAGAGGCCTTTCTCTCTTAGCCCACTGCTTCCTTCATCAGCGTATAAGGACAGAAGCACTGCATTCATCACTGAGTCAAAATTTGAAAGGAGAGAATTGTCTGAAGGGAAAGTGTTGAAGAATTTCACCTCCCTCTCCGAGAAAATTTGATGACTCTTCTCCTGCCTTCAGTTTCACCACTGACAAATGGCGTAGTTTGGGAAGGCTATTTTAGCTCAGTCCTAAACACACACGCACATACTTGCAGTTTAAGATTTACCTTCAGAAGTTTCTTCGGTGATTCCTTGGCCGCTGGGTGATGGTCCTAGTCCTAAAAGAAACCGGGTTAAAGAACAGACCTGAGAGCTTTTGCAATGAGGATAGCAGTGGCACAGAAACAGCCATCAGTGCTACCGTATGCGCTATTTCCCTCTTGTCTCTGTGAAGCAAACAGAGCTGGTGAAATATACTAATAGTCGAGAGTGGATTTCATGCTATTTATTCAGCTCATAGTTGTGAAGAGGAATGGAAGTTCCCCCAGAATGTCTGCCTTATATACATTATTTACACAATGGGCCCCACGTGATTGGCTAGTTCCGGGATTCTCCTATAGGCCAATCAGGTTGTGGATTCACTTCCACCTGGAGCTGGATTGGGTGGCTCCTGTGGACCAATCAGACTGCTACATTCTGGATCCTATTGTTCTAGGACCAATCAGACTGCTGCATTCTGGGTCCTATTGTTCTAGGACAAATCAGACTGCTGCATTCTGGATCCTATTGTTCTAGGACCAATCAGACTGCTGCATTCTGAATCCTATTCAACTCAGTACATAACAGCTGGAGCTCATCCCCTCTGAAGGAGAGAATTTTCTGAGGAAAAAGCATTGAAGAATTTCAGGCCCCGCCCCCTTTCCTAGAAAATTTGATGTCTCTTCGCCTGCCCTCCAGCCTCACCACTGAAAAAGGGCATAGTTTGGGGAGGCTGTTTTAGCTCAGTCCTAAACACAAACAAGGTTTAAGATTTACCTTCAGCAGGAGTTTCGCCACCTTTTTCAGAGGTGATTCCTTGGCTACTGGGTGAAAGTCCAAGTCCTAAAAGAAACCGGATTAAAGAACAGACCTGAGAGCTTTTTCAATGAGAAAAGCAGTGGCACAGCCTCTGCAGTGCTGCTGTGTGTGCTATTTTCCCCTTAGCAGGCAGGACTGGAACTCATCCTCTCTGAAGTTTTCCCAGACCCATTCCATCTATCTATCTCAGGGGTCAGCAAACTTTTTCAGCAGGGGGGCAGTCCACTGTCCCTCAGACCTTATGGGGGGTTGGACTATATTTTGGGGAGGGGGAAATGAACGAATTCCTGTGCCCCACAAATAACCCAGAGATGCACTTTAAATAAAAGCACACATTCCACTCATGTAAAAACACCAGGCAGGCCCCACAAATAACCCAGAGATGCACTTTAAATAAAAGGACACATTCTACTAATGTAAAAACATGCTGATTCCCAGATTTAGAAGGCAATTGGGCTGGATCCAGCACCCGGGCTTTAGTTTGCCTACCCATGGTCTATCTGTTAGCAAAATTGTAATGGTTGTTAAGGGTATTATTTATTTTAGTCACCTATTCACCTAGCCCTATATGTGATGAGTAGGGCAACACAGGCAGTGACAATTGCTCTGCCTTAACTATCAATAAAGAGATAACACCTTTTTTGCAGTAGTACAAAAACCTGCTATATTCTTTAGCTGCCTATATGATACAGTGACAATGGGATGCGGGTGGCACTGTGGGTTAAACCACAGAGCCTAGGACTTGCTGATCAGAAGGTCGCCGGTTCGAATCCCCGCGACAGGGTGAGCTCCCGTTGCTCGGTCCCTGCTCCTGCCAACCTAGCAGTTCGAAAGCACGTCAAAGTGCAAGTAGATAAATAGGTACCGCTCCGGCGGGAAGGTAAACAGTGTTTCTGTGTGCAGCTTAGTCATGCTGGCCACATGACCTGGAAGCTGTATGCCGACTCCCTCGGCCAATAAAGCGAGATGAGTGCCGCAACCCCAGAGTCGGTCACGACTGGACCTAATGGTCCGGGGTCCCTTTACCTTTAATGATGCAGTGACACATTCACCAGGAAACAGCCTGTTTATTTGCCCAACTCAACCTGGAATTAACTAGCACAACCTGGAATTAACCTGCCTCTTCCATTCCATGTCTTTTTTCTACACATGCAGGCTAATGTGATTGCTAAGACCCAGCACGAGTTTCTCAAAAACCTGTCAAAAACAAGTCAAAATCTATATCTTGCTGTCTCGTCTGGTTTTTCATTACATAGGGAGCGACTGGGTCACGGGGCCTTGGGTCACGGAATAGGTCCTTAATTTGCATTTACACAAAAAAATTCTCAAAACTCAATGGCAGATTTTGGAAGGCAAGCAAAAGATTGAACGATTCTGAAGATAACCAAATGTAAATTCCACCCCCCTCTCTCCAGAACCTCATGATATCTAAGTTTGGGTCATCTGGAGAGCTGGATAATGATTCTGCAAATAAAAGGCAAGGTAAATCTATGTTTTCTAGTCACTTCTGCAGGCAGCAGTCAAATGGCATTCTGCTCACTGTGCATTTCTGACAGCTACGGTGCAAGTTTCACCGCAAGCATTCCAGTTTTATCAAATGCATTGCTACTCTGCAGAAATTATGGTGCTCAAGAAGTTGCCCATTCTTAAATAAAGCAAATGTTTACTGCTTTTACGTATTTCTCGCTCTGTGCTAATGGATATAAAAATACTCTCTGAGCTCATCTGGAAAAGTAGTTAATTTGCACACTTTAAAAAAAAATGTTGCATTTTCTGCATATTGACTTGCAAATTTGTGATAGTCTACAGAAACCTCGAGATTTGTCAGTTATTGCAGGGGTGGGAAAGCAGTCGCTAACTGCCCCATTAGTCATGTATTTATCATAAAACTGTTCTTCTTCCACCCTGTGGAATTCCCTCCCATCAGATATCAAAGGAATAAACAACTATCTGATGTTTAGAAGACACCTGAAGGCAGCCCTGTTTAAGGAAGTTTTTTAATGTTTGATTGTGTTTTTAATCTCCTGTTGGAAGCCGCCCAGAGTGGCTGGGGAGACCCGGCCAGATGGGTGGGATATAAGTAATAAATTTTTATTATTTATTTATTTATTTATTTATTTATTTATTTATTTATTTATTTATTTATTTATTTATTTATTTAATTTCTATCATCTTCTGAGGTGCATACTGTAAAAAGCAATAAAGGTTATTTAAAATAAAGAAAGTTCAATAATATGACATCACCATCTCCTTAAAACCAGAGTTCATAGCTGGTATCTTATATACTTTTATCCTGCATAATAAGTGAAGGGGATAGGAATGCTTTTCTCATTTTTTTAAAAATTAATTGTATTTTTATGCTGCTCCTCCTTTAAACTGAACTCAGGGCAGTGTATAACAACAGTTAAAAACAAAAATATGCAGCTATCACATAAAAACCTATATAAATGACTGAAAATTAGAGTCTCCAATAATTAGAAGCATTCTCAAAACCATCGCTGCTTTAAACATAAAAATATCTTTACCTGTCCAAAACCTGGGTAAACAAATGTGCCCTCAATTTCCCCCCAATAAAATAATATATTTAAAATATTTTGTTGAGTTACCTTCCTCCTCAGCTTGGATGCTTTCCTCTTCCTCTGCTGAATGTGGCACAGGGCTGACTGTAAGAAACAAGATCCATGTAATGACATTAACTGTATCAACGAAATGCACTTCGCCAAGCTAAAGTAAAATGTTAATAACAATTGGGTTGTTGTGGCTGGTTTTTGAGGTCAAAAGCTCTAGTTGAAGAAGCAGCCTACAGCAAAAAAATAAAATAAAAATAAGGTGATATATAAAATCCCAAGAGAGGCTTCAGTTGAGAACTAACAGGAATTTAATCAGGTGCTATAAGTTATTCGTCGTCGTTTGAACTTTAAGGCTGCAATCCTATGCCTTCTTTCCTGGGAGTAAGCCTTGTTCAACTCAGGAGGATTCACTTCTACGTAAACATAAATCAGACCTATATAACATGCAGCCCCTTCAGTGCACCTAGCATTTTGGATCCTGTGCTATAGTCCTTCGAAAAACCCACAAAGTGCTCCAGAATGCCAATCAATGGGATCCAAGGGGCAAGGATCTTATGCTAGGTCTGGGTTTTTGTTTTGGTCTTCAAAGAGCTAGCCTCCAGCTCATTTCACAAACTATGTTTGAAACCTTCCTCAGTTTCAAAAGGAGTTTGTCACGTGATGTGGGTGGATTGGCTGATCTTTGAGGAAAACGTCAGTCAAATCTCCTTGGGCTCCTCAGCCTAGTTTATTTGGCTCCTGGCCCAGACAACTCTCTACAGTGGTACCTTGCAAGACAAATGCCTCGCAAGACAAAAAACTTGCAAGACGAAAGGGTTTTTTGTTTTTTGAGCTGCTTCGCAAGACGATTTTCCCTATGGGCTTGCTTCGCAAGACGGAAACGTCTTGCAAGTTTGTTTCCTTTTTCTTAACACCGTTAATACAGTTGCGACTTGACTTCGAGGAGCAACTCATAGCACGCGGTGTGGTAGCCTTTTTTGAGGTTTTTAAAGACTTTGGTGATTTTTGAAGCTTTTCCAAAACTTTTCCGAAACCGTGCTTCGCAAGACGAAAAAAATCGCAAGACGAATTAATTTCGTCTTGCGAGTCACCACTGTATTTCTTAAGATGAAACAGTCTCATATCGTTTTTTGAGATTATAACTTGCAGAATTAGAAATGCAACTCAGATTGTACAATCCTCGCTCAAATAACTGGGGATTCCAAAGGTCTAGCAATAGGCATGTTCAGTTTAAAAATCTCACCACTGAGAACATCTGATTTAAAATCTGGTCTTCATATTCACTGTGTTTTATCTGTTAATAGAAAGCGCTCACATCCTGCTGATTTTTACCTTTTCTCTCTGGATACAATTCTGTTACTTCACCTAATGCAACTTGCTTTTCCTGCGTAGGGAAACAAGAAATTTATTACACAACAATTATTACCCCAATAAAGTGCATTTTTAGTTGGCATTTATTTGCCAATACTACCAGTTTGAGCCACAAAGATAATCAGTCCCGCCCCCAAAAAAATTAGAGTGGTGTTTTAAGGTAGCATCTTTCATCTCAATAATCTGAAAGTTGATTACTGGGCGGCGGGGGGAAGTGTACACAGACACAATACAATAACTGATGAAACAATAATACTATGACCTCAGGGTGATCTTAATTACTTCCCCAAAGGTTTGATCCTAAACACACTGAACAATTTCTGCTGAAAGTGATGGGTCAGGGTTTATTTATGGGTTATGTTTGTGCCTTTTGTATTCATGCAAATCTTCTACGCATGACAGACAACTCAGATTTCACTCATGGGCAAATCCATGATCTTAACATTTATTTTGGAGTTTGGAGAATCAAGGCAGAGGGCCTTCTCGGTAGTGGCGCCTTCCCTGTGGAACACCCTCCCACCAGATGTCAAAGAGAACAACAACTACCAGGCTTTAGAAGACATCTGAAGGCAGCCCTGTTTCGGGAAGCTTTTAATGTTTGATGTATTATAGTATTTTAATATTCTTTTGGAAGCCGCCCAGAGTGGCTGGGGAAGCCCAGCCAGATGGGCGGGGTATAAATAATAAATTATTATTATTATTATTATTATTAAAATTCTAGGGGAAGAGCTGTGAGTTACTGCTTCTCCTTTGCCCCATTATACAGATACAGGAGTTTTTGTTTGTTTCCTGTCTGCAAAACAATCACGAGCTGGCCAAATAAATGGGTACAATCTAGGAAGTACTAGGCAGCCTTTCAGTGCTAATGAAATTTGTCTTAACTGCGGTCTTTAAATTTAAACTAGTAACAACGTATTGTTTGCAGTAGCAAGTGCTGCCCTCTAAGGATCAATTTAGATGCTGAATCCGAATGGAAATCAGACCACCCACCATATGTGGAGTAAATCTAACATGAAGGGAGTCTCTTGTTTGGAATGTGTCCATAACTAGAAGGAAGAATTATGAAAACAATAGTACAGGACATGAAAGCAGCGTGAGGTTACCCGAATCAGATCATAGGTTAGATTCTGAAGACTTTCTTGGTTTTTCTCACTAATTTGTAGATCTGTAGAGACCTTCCAGCTGCCATTCTGGAAAGTTACAGGCATGGAGTAGACAATTCCCTCAGGAATCCCAAACTGACCTAAGGAACAGAAACAGTCCCTTGAAAGTGTATTTTATTCACAGATAACAACACACCCATACATTTGCCATTAAAACTGTGAATTACATGGACCATATCCCAATATTCTGCCACACTGATTTCAGTGGAAGAGATTTAAGCGGGCATGAAATTCTGCTACTGAAATCAATGGGACTTTGCTTAAACTTTGGCTGTATCGTACACAAAGATTTTAATTCGGATAGAAAAACACAAGCCTTCCACACGGCTTCTGGTGGAAATGGAGCACTACGACAGAGAAGTATTTGTAATTATTTGACTGAAAAGCAACATTTACCTTCACTGAGTACTCCCAGGGAGACCAGCTCTCCTGGAGGGGAGTCCAGGTACCAGTACCTCAGCACAGTAAAAATGGCATGTGCTGGCGCTATGCCTACGCAATGAATTTCCCAGGAACTCAACGAACTCATTGCAGTCAGAAACTCTGCTCGTATCCATTCACTGTAAAATGAGAAAGGAGAGCTGTCCTTAAATACAAATAAAGAAAACTACAGGAAGAGACTATGTTCCAAACGATTTTAAAGCACACAGCTCCTCATCAAGAGGCTCGTCTCAGACCCCCAAAGCATCATACATTGTCATAGTCTCTTCAGGAAGGTTTGGAGTGGTATGGGAGTACCAGGGCAAACTTGCCCCTGAACTTTGTGCCGTTTCACCTCCAGGCATTCCGAGCAAGGATGGTCAAGTCGAGATTCCTCCTTTGCTTATAATTTGCTGCTGAACTGGGAAATGAGACAGCCACCTCCTCTCCTCTCTGTTTCCCTTCGAGTTTTATTATCTGTTCCCCTGCTTGCAGGAAGCAGCAGGCTGCCGGGGGAGAATATGGTGGACCACAAGAGGAGGGGCAAAAGGTTGGAGAAGGTGTGGCTGCTTCATCGTCCAACTCATGGGCAGGTTTGAAAGTGACAGGGGAGCCTGCAGGTTGCAACAGGGTAGCCGTGTGACGGAAACTCTGAAGAGCGCTCAAAAACAAAAACAAAACAGGAGCTCTCAAATACAGTGGTGCCTCGCAAGACGAAAATAATCCGTTCCGCGAGTCTTCGTCTAGCAGTTTTTTCGTCTTGCGAAGCAACCCTATTAGCGGCTTAGCGGATTAGCGCTATTAGCGGTTTAGCGGCTATTAAAGGCTTAGCGGCTAAAAGGCTATTAGCGGCTGAGCGGCTTAGAAAAAGGGGGGGGAAGCGAAAAAAAATCGCAAGACTCGCAAGACGTTTTCATCTTGCGAAGCAAGCCCATAGGGAAAATCGTCTTGCGAAGCAACTCAAAAACGGAAAACCCTTTCGTCTAGCGGGTTTTTCATCTTGCGAGGCATTCGTCTTGCGGGGCACCACTGTATAGATGTACTTCAGGGCAAAATCTAGAAACCAGCATTTAACGAATTTAATAAATAATAGTAACAATACTACGGTATTTTGGGTGGGAAAATGTGTTTCAGATCCTTACATGGTATGACTCTAACAGAGCACTGGAGCTATTGCTGCTTATGATCCTTGCCACAACTAGACCATTTAGTTCTTAATTAAATACCTTGACCTTAATAACTTTAAAGCACCAAATCAGGTTTTAGGTAATGCTGCTGCTCCTTATGTAACATGCCACAGAGGTTCAAAAGTGCATTGAAGAAGCTTTGATTTGGAGCAGAGCTCTCTCTGTTGGTGGAAGTAAAGATCAGGAGAGAAGCTTAATTTAGAATATTCTTTTTCACACTTCCTTTGCTTTTCACTTGGAAGCTGCATTTGGTAAACGGAAGCACTGGCATTCTTGTGCCTTTCTGGGCTCAGTTTGGGGATTTTGTCCTGAGAACTGAGTCCTGAAAAGAACAATGCTTCTGCTTCTTAGCACATGAATACTTTTTCCATTTTTCAAGCCTTGGAGTTGCATGCTCTCAGTTTTTTGTTTAAGATTTTTCAGATACCATCACAATGCCCCAAAGCACTGTAGAGTAGACTTTGGTGTTGTAAAATGCAAGAGACTACGAAAGAGGCAAAGGTCTTGGGCCGATGCGTAAGGTGCAAACACCTTCGGAGGGACTCTTCGGAGGGATGGCATAAAAGCCAGTTTTTAAAAAAATCAAAAGTATCACCAAAAAATACCGATCAAAGAGGACATCCATCAAATCACGGGAAAAGCTTGGTGGGCCCCAGATGGCGCTGTCATATCTATAGAGCTGTGTTTTACTCAGATCGATGAAGCTGTTCCCACTGATATTACCCCAGACTACGAGATTTTTTATTCCTGTTGAAGACAACAATCAAAAGAGGCATAAGCATAACAGGTAAGAACGGAAGGGGAAAACCCCACTGGAACAGAACAAAGGTTCTGCAGGATGCATGTAGTTCAGCATCCTGTTTTCCACAGTGGTCAGTCAGATGTCTCTGGGAAGCCCACATGAAGCAGATCATGAAGGCAAAAGCCATTCCCTGGTGTTGCTCCCTCAAGCCGATTGGCTCTAATCCAGAGGCTCAACATAGCCATTGATTTTGGGAGCCACTGATCATGGTAACCGTTCACGTGGCACAGTTAACTTGCCTCTTGTTACCAAGGACTACTTTCAAAAGACATGTCTTCTGCTTGTGTCCCATGAGGCAAGAAATTGCCTAAGGTCCTTAACTAAGGCCTGGTGAGATTCACCATAGTAGAACTGCAGACCTTTTAGAGAGTCTGTAAATTATGGGCAAGATTCAATGAGATTTGTTCCACCAGTGAAGGACATCCACTAGCTCTAGGGCAGGTCAGGAGAACCTCAGAACAGCGCACAACAGGCAGAGTTTGGATTTGATATCCCGCTTTATCACTACCCTAAGGAGTCTCAAAGTGGCTAACAATCTCCTTTCCCTTCCTCCCCCACAACAAACACTCTGTGAGGTGAGTGGGGCTGAGAGACTTCAGAGAAATGTGACTAGCCCAAGGTCACCCAGCAGCTGCATGTGGAGGAGCGGGGAATCGAACCCAGTTCACCAGATTACGAGCCCACCACTCTTAACCACTACACCACACTGGGTGGGGATTGTTCCATCTGGCAAGCTGAAAAGCTTGTGTTGATGGAATGATTGACACAGCGCTACGTCAAATTCCTCCTTGTGTTGTTCCCCTTTCCCACTGCACCCTAGCTTTGATTATCTTGAGTCAAACTGAGAAATCTTCTAGCATGGACCAACGTTATGATCTGCCAGCCTATTGGCTAGTCCGCATGCATGCAAAGGATTTGCAGAGATACGTTCTCAGAGGCAGTGTCACACTGCAGAATTGCCTTTTCCCTAAAAGTGCATCAGAGTCTGAGCTTCCTTCAGAGAAAGTTCAGTAATGACTTCGGACTGTATGGTCTAGAACAGGGGTCAGCAAACATTTTCAGCAGGGGGCCAGTCCACTGTACCTCAGACCTTGTGGGGGGCCGGACTATATTTTGAAAAAAAGAAAGAACCAATTCCTATGCCCCACAAATAATCCAGAGATACATTTTAAATAAAAGGACACATTCTACTCATGTAAAAACACGCTGATTCCCAGACCGTACATGGGCCAGATTTAGAAGGCGATTGGGCCTGATCCAACCCTCAGGCCTTAGTTTGCCTACCCATGGTCTAGAATATTTTAAACCTTGGCTATTTTTGTGGGTTTTAGTATGGATGTGTGCTTCTATGTTATTTTTATTTTTTCATTTGCTTAACATAATTTGCCCTGAGGCAAGTCAATATAACAATCCAAAATAACTAAATAAACATTAGTCAATCTGCAATCATTTGTTACACACCTGCTGGATGCATCCCCATTTTTCTCGCCAGCATGGCCTTGGCTTCATTTTCCAAGAGCAGGGATACAGTGACGATATTCTGAGGGTTGATGGACGGAGCATGTGTAATAAGCATCAACGCCTTAAGGTTGACAAAGGTTTTCCCCATCACAACAACCCTGACATGACTTCTGGCATTCTTCTCTATCAGAGGACCATATATTTCACATTGAGTGGTAACTTGCTGGATGCATTCCTCATGAGACGGGATTGCCTCTTGAAGGACGTCATCAAGCAAAATGATGACTTCAGCTTCGAGAAAAGTCTGGTCGTCCAGTTCAGTGTACAAAGTGATACCACGAAGGACAGGGGATGCCAAGTCCTCAGTCTCCATAACGATAACTTCAAGAAGTTCTTCGCAGCCCTTTCTGTCAAGCAAGTGGAGGCTGATCTCAGTTTCCATTCCAAATATTTCCCCATTGATTAACAAAGGGATCAGATGATAGCAGATACTAGCTGATGCTCTGTTAAGATAAGAAAAGTAGTTAGCAATGAACAAACAAACACTGGTTTTATGCAGAGGAGAGCTATTCCCCCCCCCAAAAAAATCTTTTTATTCCACAGGTTTTCATGGTCCTCAGTAATCAACTCTTAGTGCTTGTATTAGAAGAAATGAACAAGGATACCTTGCCATGAAATCTAGTGACATTATCTTCTAACAGCAGGCATTGAAGCTGAGTTATTTTTAAGCTATGTGGTTACAGACTACATTAATTTAACTGCATAAGTGTTTGATTTTTCTAAATTATAACCTACTTTTTTTTATTAAAACAACAACAACTTAACACTGAAGACTTAACAGTCACATAGGCTGATAGACTACTGAGATTGATCCCCCAACAATAGTCATTCCATAGCAATTCTGCAGTGAGAATGCAGGAAAAGCTGCTTAATAACATTAACGGACTAGGTCAGGGGAGGGAGGAGTTGTGGCTGCTGAACAGCCAGACCTAAAGGCCTGCTGGACTTGTGCAAGCCAAGTGTGGGGCAGGTGGGACGGTGGCTGTGCCATTTTCTCTCCTCTCTCCATTCTGTCGCTTGCTGTTTGCTTCTTGATGTAAACATTTAACAATCACACATTCATAGAAAATACAGCAAGGCAGTGTGCAACATAAAAAACTTCCATGGTGGGAAAATCGCTATTCCAGATCCTGGGCTGGTACACTTTTCCCAACCTCAGTTTGGGGGGGCGAGGACACAAGGTCTTTGGATCCAGTGGACCCCAAGCCTCCTCTGGTCTGCCACTGGCACACCCCTTTTGCTGTTACTGCATTAGCTGAGATTTCCGCTCCCACAGCAGGAAACTCATGCGGAGAGACTTTCTTTGTCTCCCAAGGATTTCCCACTCTGCGGGTGGAAATGGAGATCGGCTGTAGCCTATGGCTGTACCCTATAGGACTGCTTTCCAGTAAGTCAAACTAAAACCAGAAAGAAAGTAGAGAGTAGGAAGCTGAGGGGTGGGCATAAGGAGCCAGAATGGATAAAAGTGGAAGCATCAGACAGTTCACGGTCAAGGAAGCTCTGAGGAACGGCTTGGTGGCTAAAGGTAAAGGTAAAGGTAAAGGGACCCCTGACCATTAGGTCCAGTCACGGATGACTCTGGGGTTGCGGCGGCTCATCTCGCTTTACTGGTCAAGGGAGCCGGCGTACAGCTTCCAGGTCATGTGGCCAGCATAACTAAGCTGCTTCTGGCGAACCAGAGCAGCGCACGGAAACGCCATTCACCTTCCCGCCGGAAGCAGTACCTATTTATCTACTTGCACTTGATGTGCTTTCGAACTGCTAGGTTGGCAGGAGCAGGGGCAGAATAATGGGAGCTCACCCCGTCGCGGGGATTCAAACCGCCGACCTTCTGATCGGCAAGTCCTTGGCTATGTGATTTAACCCACACCGAAGTGCTAATGTGGTTTTACATCGGCGAAATCATAGGCAAACGTGGCCTGATTGGCTCTGATGTTTGAAAGTTTTTGTTTTCTGCTCCTAACAGTGTCGTGGTATTAAATTACAGCGCTGAGATGAATATACAAATATCATTCACATTGGGGCAGAATCAGATGATGGTGACATGAATGTAGACAAGGATCCCTAAAATACTTCTTCTCTTCCTCCTCCTGTTGGGGGATAGGGTGGGCACCGGGGGTTGGCTGTTCAAATAAATGCCTATACAAAGAATGACTCAAAAAAAAAAAAAGGTGGAATGAAGGGGCAGGGCATTGAAGACAACATGGAGAATTTGAGCAGCGAGAACAGCCTATGGATGCTGAAGGAAGTAATTACTTCTCCAAGTATATGGCAAAGTTAGTGTTATCCCATAAGCCCAAGAATTCTTGCCAAACATGCCATGAGCTCCTCACTGCTTGAATGCCCAGAACTATCTTTATATTCTAATTTTAACATATTGATACATGTAGACATTACACCTTTTAAAAAAAACAACCTAGATGTAAATAGACCAATAAATTTCTCTGATGCTTTTGATCAATGCCATGATTAATTGATTAAGTATTGGTATAAGGGTGATTTTTTTTTAACCCACTATTTTATGTATACATATATATCTCACTTCCCAAACTCTGGGGCTGTTAATAATAATATAATAATTAATAATAATAAGCTCTGTCCATGAGACCAGGACCCTGCAGGATTTAACTTCCTTCCGCTGGGCCTGTAAGACAGAACTATTCCACGTGGCTTTCAATTTGAACTTGGCCTGGTCTTTTGTTCCTCTTCCTTCCCTCCCCCTCCCCTTTTTGTGAAGATTGCCTGCTCTGGGATCCCACACTGTTCTCCCTGGTCTCCTCGCTGCCCAAGTGGGACTAAATTTAGCCAGCTAGCCCTGTGATCATCTAATGTTTATTGGATGGATTTCCCCCTAAATTGATTTTAGTTTATTTATTTATGCTTTATACCTATTTTATGCTGTTTGGTTTTTTTTTGTTTTGTAGCATCAATTAAGTGTTTTAAAGTTGTTAGCCGCCTGAGCCCGGTTTCTGAACAGGAAGGACAGGTATAAATAAATATCT